TAAGCTTGACTAGAATGCTAACACTTAGTAATTTTGCCCTTACAATGTCACTGAAGAGAGGAGAGAGAGTTACCTACCCTCGTTTACTCAGCCCCATATTTCCGGGTATGTTATCAACAAAAAGAGCCCCCTTTCATTGAATCACGAATAATCAAAAGAGCTTTTAAAAGACGTGATTTGTTTCCAGGAAGGGCCTTTTAATGCTTTGAATCTGGATTTGGTAGGTATTTTTTTCTTCTTTAAATTGCTTCCGTAGGATGACTGAGACGTTAGGTGTTTCAGTAAGCCGGAGATTAAATTTCGGCGTGCGACGATGATCGATTTCGACGCAGAAATTAAAAAAGTACGTTACCTGATCGAACATAAGTTAAACGTATAGGTACAGAAAGCATTAAATTGTCTTTATACATTTTAATTATGTCAATAAGTAACTTTAATAAAAACTGAATATGTATTTGAGTTTTGTAACACGAGGACTTTAATATTATTATTTTTTTTACAATTTTCACCTATATTGCCCATTCTTTTGTACAACCGACTTCTGTGGTCGACCACAGAAATAAAAAGCGTCATATTGCAGCGGCAAAATATTGCGGGCGTTGAGTGCACCGGCTGCATGCACCTCTGTGAAAACGTCGTGCCTCAGCACAACAGTTGACTCGGAACATACGTACACACACCCGCAACCCACTACAATAAAACGGGAGAGGGCCACGGGGGGGCGAGGGGGTACTGGTGTGACGATGCAGTTTGCACCGCGGCCTCCTCCAACCTTCACCAACTTGCGCCCGTGTTCTTGGGAATCGTTTTAAATTCAAGAACCGCATAACACTCCGCAGACAACAATACACCTTAATTACAATGTATTACGAACCAGAATCATGTCAGCAACACTTTCTTACTCATTTCGAAAATGGACTACGATATCATTGCATTAGGAAATTTTAAGCCTTATGCGATACTACTTAAAGTTGAGAAACGTGTAAGCAATACGACAATGGCAGAATTCTTTGGTGTGAGTGCGGAGGTGAGAAATACATTAGCGGTACCGTTTTCTATTGGTCGTCGCTTCTGTGTTGATATTAAGCAGTCCACGTGGACTACTCTGATGGTTGCTTGTCTCGTTTTTTTCACCGGGTGGTTCTCTATCCATCTCGTTCTAATCTACAACGAAACGTGGAATGTCATGTCCGGAGTTGTTCAGAAAGTCGTGAGCGTGCATCGTGCTTCGAACTTCGGGTTCGTTTCATAATAGCGAATATTATGCTGCATCAATCACGACAAAGTGCTCTATACTACTTAAGTTAGAGTTCATTTTAGTGTAAAATAGTGTATGGTAGATATATTTTTTTCCTTCAGCCTTTATTGATAAGCATTTTTAAGTCAATTAAGGTTGTAAGCTAAAAGCGGTTGTTGCTACATTTAAATTATCGGTCGGCATTCAAATAACGCCATTTTTTTGTGTCGGCTCACAAATTTATAGTTTATAATAACGTTACGTTATGGTGGGTTTAATAATGTGACGTGGGTGATACTATTATAGCGCGCATCCAACACTATTTAATTCAGTCAATTATGGATATAAATTTAAAGATTTTAGGTTACTGGTAGAATCCAGGATCTTAGGTAGGTAATTTCAAAATACCTACATCTATATTTTATATTTATACGTGTGCATATAAATATTAATTCAAATCACCTCAATGGGTATGGTATCTATAGATAAAATTGTTTATAGCCTCCATACATACCATATTCTCTAGAGATAGTAGAGAAAAAGTAGTAACTATTTGTAGAGAAACACTTATTGACCCTGTTTCGTTCTTGAATGAACTTTAAACTTGTTAGTTTTGATACTAGTAGCGACATCTAGTGTGATAATTCGTAAGTACATTCTAATAAAGGAGTAGCGCTACTCTGGCGTTTATGCTTCCCAACCCCATTACATTCAACACCATCTCACCACCTTTCAGAAATACTTTTCCCTTACAATTCAACTACGAGCAAATAAAATAATAAACTTGCAAAATAGAGATCGCTGTCTACTCTAAAACATTAAAATCTATAATAAATAACCTAAAAGAGGGAGATGCTATTATCAAAATGAGGAAGTATATAGAAAAATAACATTAGTTGCCGAAATCAAACTAGATGTCGCTACGTTTTTCTTTCATGTATAGTAAATTAATTTTCAAAACCTAATTAATCACTCGTTTTCTATTTATACTTTTTCGTATTTGTATTGATATCGAGGGTTCAAAGTTCGCAAATTTCAGTTTTTTTATATGTTAGTTAAAAGGAACGGAAATAACTATCATTGGTCTAATCATTTCCAGCCAAAAAACAACTTTTGCTAGAGTCGCCATCTAGCGAGGTGCTTTTTAGTGCTTTCTTTTTTCTTAAAATACTTCGTCATTGAGAAAGTGTAGAGATTTTTTATGCTAGATTTGATTTTTTAGTTTTTCCATACTCTTTGGTTGTAAACAGTCAGGCAAACCGAAGTTTCATCGCTAATTTTAACTTTATATGAAGAAATTAATTTATTCACTTGACATTGGCATAATTGGCATAATTGTGCGAAACGCGCAGGTTAGTCATAATTAAATGATGAAGAAAATTAAAAAATGACGAGTTTTTGGCGGAAACCGATGAGTAAAGCGGATATCCAGTTATTTATATAATGTAAAAATCTCAGATGAAATATAGAAAGGAGCACCTTTTTCCCGTGGACTTATCTCTTAGAGTAAAGTCTACATTTATTTTATTTTATTGACTCGCATAGATTTATAAAGGTCTAAAACATTTAAACGTTTAAATGAGGCAGTATAGTCTTAGATCTCTCTACTTTGATTGTAACTACAAAAGTAAAACAAAACGTCAAGACTTAAATACAACTTCCTAGAGATGTGCCAAGAATAAACGCGGCTCGATATATCGTGCCTAAAAATTCCCATTCTAGTCGACAAAAAACACCTTTTGTTTGTAACATGAAAACTTTTATCTAGATATGTTCGGGACAATGATAAGGATAATAGAAAGAAAATCTGATACTATATTTATTTAGAAAATTTGAGATTTTATTGACGAAAATAAGTTATTTTATCATATAACAACATTTATTTAACTAAAGTTTTATTATTTTCTTTTGTATTTTGCTTCAGCGATATCTCGTTGTAATGTCCAACAGTAATCTGCTAGCATACGTGGACTCCTCTTGCTCTGGTATCGTTTTTCCATGGTAAAAATGTCTTGAATTTGCGCCCAAATTTTCAGGAAAAAGGTCTAAATATGAATGAAGGAAGTGTATTTTTAATGACATATTACATCCCAAAGCCTTATATGTAGATAGCAGCTCCGCGACAATAGTTTTATAGTCATTTGATCGGTGATTTCCTAAAAAAATGGAAGTTACTTTCATAAAAGATTCTCAAGTAGATTTTTCCAAATCACTGAGCTTTTCTTTAAATATGTCGTCTTTCATCAAGTGTCTGATTTGTGGGCCAACAAAGATGCCCTCTTTAATTTTTGTCTCGTTCAGTTTAGGAAACTTTTCTTTCAAATATAAAAAGCCGTCACCACTACTGTCTAAAGCTTTCACGAAGTTTTCATGAATCCAAGTTTTATGTGTAAATGTAGTAAAAATACATTATCAGGCTGCACCAATGGAGGATTTTTTACATTTTTTTGTCCTGGAGATTACCTTTTGGACCAACCTTTTTAAAAAAAATGATTTTATCGATCCCTGCTGTCCTATTCACAAAAATCCTAAAACAACTGTATTTTGAAAGCCCAAACAAAAGTTTTGCCTGTGTTTGGACAAATTTAAGTCACGTACCAAATCATTGAGATCTTCGTATGAGTAGATGTGACTCTTTAGACGAAGAAGCTTCTTGAAAGTCAGGATCTAATGTGCCGTTTTCCACTGTTACTGGCGTAGTAGCCAGATCGAAACTTTGTGATGGTTCTGGTACAGGTAGTTTCTCACTGTGAGGGATCGGTCTTTTAGCAGATGGCACTTAACTCAAAAAACAAAACAAACTCTATACTTTTGAAATAAATAAAATTACTGAATGCAAAAGTGGAACAAATATGATTAATTTTCAATTTTACGGGTAGTAGTTGTAACACAAAAACTAGACCTGATGGAATCAAAATAAATATGGTGATAAAATTAGGATAGGTAGGTGATTCGAAAATTGTAAGTACCTATCTTGTTACAAAATTTTGTTGAGCAGTAAATTCAGATGAACTCGACATAACTGTATGAAGTTCAGTAAATTATTTATTCGTGAAGCAAGTTTAGTTTTTACTAAAGTTATGACTCTGTGTCGTTCCCATTTAAAAAATCAAAAGAGTTTTTCACTCTAAATTAAGCGATCTCAAATCCGCTAAAAAATGTTTCTCGTAAAATATTTGAAAAACTTTAATATCACATTTAAAAAACAATTAATTTATTATTTACTTTTCTGTAGTGGTCACTTGGCAACGATTTGAGCATATTATTGGTAGTAATTAGGGATTTTAAACAAAAACTGATATTGTTTCAGCTGGTTTTGATATTAACTATTCGTTATGGTGCACTTTGCAACGGACAGTTTATGTTTTATTGGTTTTCATTAGATCTATTTTTATTGCATAAATGGTTTCATCCTAAAAGAAATGTTTTTGAAGAAACAAACATTTTTTTAATGATGAAATTTCAATAATCCATTATAAAATAGAATAAAATTAGGTTCTTAACATATTCACCTAATTTAATTCTGAATGTAACTTGGATGACTTTAACGACTGGGATTTGATAATAAATAATGGTTAAGGAAGATAGAAATTTAAGAATTAAATTGATTCTATATTGGTATTGACTTTTTTGTGCTACACGTTCGCCAAGAATTTTAGTGTGCTTAAAACTCCGCAACTCTAGTAAGAGCGAATTCAACATCGATTCAATGAAAGCTACGCACAACTCTAGTTAATAAATGAAGTTGACACATTGTTCATTTTCATCTTTAAATTTTTATTTTAAAGTTTATTTGTATATTTATTTTGTATTCTGTCGTAAAACTTGCCTGCAATTTTTTCCTACTAATAATGTCACCACGAGTGGTTTTGTTATTTAGTGGTAAAAGAAAGTCCGGAAAGGACTATTTAACCGATCATTTACAACAGTTGTAAGTATTATGAATTATTCATTAAAATTCTCTATGAATACAAATTGAAATGACCTAATAAAGTTAATTCATTAATTTAAGAAATATTTTGACCTGTTCTGTTCTGAATCTGAAATTCAATTAAAAATAACTAAAGTATTACAAATTCTTTTTTTTAGACTTCTATTATTTCTACTAGTTTAGAATTAGAATTAGGAAGTTAAGAATAAGGTTTATTCTGTTAAATGATTAGGTAGTTAAAATTTTATATATATTCATTCAATAGCTGCTTGCATTATATTAAAAGAAAATTTCACAGGATTTAAACTTTCACATAAAATATATGTGTCAATATAGCATTGCGAATGCAAAAAAACAACAGTTTTTCTCATATTTTACAGGTTAAAAGATAAATGTGAAATTATAAAAATATCAGCACCCATTAAACATTACTGGGCCAAACAAAACAATTTGAATTTTAATGAACTATTGAGCAATAGTGACTACAAAGAGCTACACAGATTGGAGATGATAAGATGGAGTGATAGCATAAGAGAGAAAGACTATGGTTATTTTTGTAGACAAGCTTGCAAGGACGGTATGAATTATACATAAGTTAGATATAACTGTAAAAAAGTCACTGCATACTAATTTTTTTTCCAGCTAAAGAAAAACCAATATGGATAGTCAGTGATATAAGACGTAAAACAGATATTCGTTGGTTCAAAGACACATATAAAGACTTAGTTAGGACTATTCATATTGAAGCTGATGAGGAGACTAGAAAATCTAGAGGATTCCACTATAAAGATGGTGTGGATAATGTTGCTTCCGAATGTGACTTGGATGACTTTCATGACTGGGATTTGGTAATAAATAATGGTGAAGGAGGACTGAAATTACAGGATCAAATGGATTCTATATTGGCATTATGTAAAAATTTATTATAATCCATTCAAACAGTTCAATTACTGTGCCCAATAAAATTGTGATAGCAAATTATAAATAAGCTTATAGTATGTAAACTTACATTATAATAATGTATGTGTTAAGTAAAATTAGTTTTGATATAGATGGGAAGATACAATTTTGACCTACCAGGAGAATAAATTAATTCTCCTGGTAATATTAATAAATAAAGTGTTTTTAATTAGATTTTTTATGACTTGTCTCTTTTATTGTTCACTAGTTGACCTGGAACAGTAGTATAATAATATTTTTATTGATGTGACAATTTCCTTTTGTGATAACAAACCTAATGACTTTCCTCAAATCATAAAACTCAAAACCAATCTCATATGCAATATTATGTACTTATTTCCTTTATGTGAAAAAATATATTTGTGCTTAAATAAATATAGTAGTTTCAGTTAGTGATGTAAGCTGCAATTGAAATACGGAAGAATGACTGTTGAAGTATTTTCTGTTACTACAGTAGGAAAGCTAATGGTTAATAATGTTTGTATGGATTTTGACCACCATGGTACAATTTCAATACAGACTTTCTATGTCGACTTGCTACATTAGTCTTACCGCAGGCAACTACCGCGCCGAGCATTAACTCTCATTTTGTTAGAACTCTGTGTTGGAAATGGCGTGACGTGCACGCATTAGTGTATTAGTGGTTTTCCTATGAGTCGATAGAGGGCATTACTGATAAAATTAAGTTTTACAATAGAGTCTATCAGTGCTCTTTATTAATAAACAAGGTTTAGTGTTGGAGTAAATCTACGGTGAATTTGCACTTAGTATTAGTTAAAATTCATATTATTAAACAGAGATTTAACAAAGCCTAACTTGCTACGAGGTTCTACGGGAGTAATATTTACTCCTAGAAGGTAGTTAGTTTCTTATTCTCTAAATAATATAAATTCTGACTAATACTTAAATTGCAATTTTAGCGTAATTTTACTCTGACGCTAAAATTAGTTTATTAATAGCACAGTATATGTCGCACCCTGTAAGTGGTTAAATTAGCCTTCCAATTAGGTGGTCGGCGCTTTAATTGAATGGCGCCATTCAAGTATCGGGCTGATCTTCGATCAACTGAGTAGCTGAACGCAACGTGCGCTTTAAATGAATGGCGCCATTCAAGTATCGGGCTGATCTTCGATCATCTAAGTAGCTGAATGTAATGTGCGCTTTAAATGAATGGCGCCATTCAAGTAACGAACTGATCTTTGATCATCTGAGTAACTGAACTCAAAGTTCTACAATACGGTTCAACAAAAGTCAACCAACTAGTGAACTGTCAATTCATCGGGAATACCGAAATTTATTCGTAGGAAAGAAGTAAAACAAAATAAATCGTGTGTTTAAATAAAACTCAAAAATTCCTATTTGTTACGATTTTTGCGCGATCGCGTCACACTACAACAAGTTAATTTAGTCCTGTAGGTCACGTGATAGGTTCGGCATGTTAAGGTCAGTTCCCCTCGGTATATAAAAAAAAGGTCACGTGATAGGTTAGAATTTCGAGGTTACATTAAATGAATGTTTTGGCATCTTTTCAATCAGCCGTCTTGTTGAACGGTCTAAATACTATAATGGTTCAACTAGAAAACTGGACTTTCAATTCAATGGCGCCGTTCAATTAAATGGTTAGCAACCCAATTGAACGACTGATTTACCTAGTTGTTTACGACATACATGTATATGAAAACAAGCAAAATATCACGTTTGCTATATATGAGCCTCCTATTTGATAATAAAGCGGTAACAGAAATACATCATCTGTGAAAATTTGAAGTTGTCAATTGCGGTTTGAGAGATACAGCCTTGTGACAGACGGATAGACGGACGGACAGACAGCGGAGTCTCAGTAATTAGGTTTCCGTTTTATCCTTTGTGTACGGAACCTTAAAAGGAAAACCGAAGGACTGACATACTTAGGTATCAATCAGCGTAGACCACAAACTAAGATTAGAAACTAGAAATTTTGCACCATTCTTCTTTTTGTCGTGTAGGTGACCACTAAAAAGAGTTTTTGGGAAATTCGCCTCTTAAAGGTGTTTAAAGTTGGTATGTAGGTGACTCCAATGATGTTACTTTGTCAGTTTTTAAGTTAAAAATATGAAACTTTAGGCTCAGTAGTAACAATTTTAGTCTTTGAGAAAATTCAACCCCCAATACGGTCAAATAGGGGTTGAAAGTTTGTATGGAATTCTGTCAGTTTTGATGTTAAAGACATAAAACTATTTTTGGGTTAGTGTTTTATTGAAATGGTGTGACAGCGCTGTGTTCTAGGCTGATTTCGACGCTGATATTTTTCAAAGAATGGCAAAGTAGACAATACATCAGGTCACTAACAAGTCAACTGTACATTTTTACATACATTTGGAAAAAAGCGAAAAATACTCGAAAATATGAATGCGGGCAGCGCAGGGCTGCTCGTTGTGGAAATATATGGAAGAGGGTAGTATATACCTACTCAGCAGTGGGCGTTGCATGGCTGATGTGCGGCTTGGATCACAATGATGTAGTTGATTCTTCTATAAAAACTACATACGGTAATGTCGCTTTATACTAATGACAATTGTAATGGACGTTTGTGTAACTGGGTATTAGTCACCCACATATCACCCACATATGGCTGTTGTAGGTGAAAGAGTTTTCATGATCGGATTAGTATTTCAGAATATTACGCCCTACAAACAAACAAACAAAGTTAGAAATTGTGTCTTTATAATATTTAGTAATAAATACGGACTTTTTTAGAATTGAATTTTTTAGGAACATCATTGAATTATTCTTAATACAAAATGCTTAAAAGTCCATTGGTCCCTGGCACCCTAAGATGGGAATCGAACCCACGACCTTTCGCAATCCGGGCGACTGCTCTAATCACTGAGCTACCCAGGTCCATACAAATTTTTAACGCCCTCACTAGTGAACGCGTTAACATAAAATATGGTAAAACTTACTTGAGTTATAAGTCTAGTTTAGAATAGGTACAACTTGGTTATGTGGGTCACTTTTACGTTCATACTATATTTTTCCAGGCACACCCACTAAATAACCAAGGATACTCAACCAATCACTTTAGCATTGACGCGCTGTAAAGTGCCCTGTCATAGTCAGGACGATGAGTCATGTAAAAAATGTTAGCGCTAATCACATTGAACTTAGCTAGAAAATATAGAATTATCTTAAACTTCTGTATCCGAAGCTACGTATTGTCATATAAGCTTTCTTTCTCCTTACCATACATGGACCACCGGTGCTTCAGAGTGGTAAGTGTAAGTTTTACGCTAAGATTTGTAGTTCTTGGTAGTTACTATTAGGGGCGCTGAACCGGATTCCATACTAAAATTTTAACGCGCTCATGATCGACAGTGAACGTAAACGTCAAAAAAACTTACGCTAAGCGCTCAGGTGTGAAGAATATTTTTTTTTACCAACTCAAATTAAAAATAAATAAATATCATCACCTTGACTTAAGGTAAGGGCGCTTGTGCACTACACTGAATTTTCATGCCCGGCGGTCCGATTTTTTCAGGTCCGATATGTCAGGCCATATGTAGGTAATGCGCGCTTGTGCACTGTCAGGAATTTTACCGTCCGGAATTTTACTTTTCTCTATTCCGGACCGGTTTTTTCAGGTCCGTGATGGCGGCAATGGAAAACGTGTTTACGCTTGTGCACTGCTGTGTCCGAGATCCGGAAAATTCATAAGGAATAGGCTTGGGAAAAAATAATCGACTTGAATCGATATTTATTTCGGCAATATTGTTAATTTCCAATAAACTTATAATCAATATTTATTGTTGATTATAAAATGCTATATTTTATATGATGATTTAATATAGTTGGTAAATATCACTGCATAAGCTTTGGCAAACTCGGTATAGTTCTAATTTGATCAGCGTATGGTTCTAGTATCGATACTTAGTTAGATTTTAGAATCGTATTAAAAGTATCGATAGCTTAAGGTAAGATAAATAAGTGTTGTTACGCTTAGATGCCTAAACAACTGAACCCATCTAAATGGAAATTAATATAGTAAATAGACTTAACTTTAAGAAAGGACATAGGCTTCATGTTATCGCGAAAAATAGGGGATGAAAGTTTACCTGGAAATTTGTCATTATCAAATTTTTTTAGACAATTAATAAGTATAGATAAATATTTGACAACAGAAGTAATAAAAAAGAATAAACAGAAAATTAACAAAAGTAAAGCATTTAATAAAATTTTAAATGTATGTTTGTGTCATTAATAAATTAAAAAAAAAAAAGAAGTATTCTAAGGGAATAATATTTCTGCTCAAAGAAACTACACCACGCATATAAAATTATGCCTATATATAATACAGTCAACTGATCTCGTAAAGTTCATTTAACATAATAATTCTCTGCTAACACGGCACTAATTCCGATATGTTTACGAAATGGCGCCACCGATTGGTCTATCTCTGTAATCGCTGAAAGTTGTTTTTACAAAACTTCGAAAAAAAATAGCACGTTTAAAAATTTTAACATCAAGTACTAGACCATTATCAGTAATTTTATTCTAATGTCACAGATATTTTTAGCTATTTTATGTGAATAATGCTGTTCCTAAATTAGAAAGGATATAAGTTATCCGATAGTAGTAAAAAAAATGCTTTCGCCTTGCCATGATTTATTATGGTTTATGTAAAACGATCAGATCATTATTTAGGTACCTTTCTACGTCTTCGAACGGAATTACCGACGTTCCAAAAATCTCATCGTACCTAGCGTAAGTGACGTGTAGCTTCAAAGAGAGCTGCCCTACACTGCGCCGCTCCGGTCAGGAAAAAAACGGACAAGTGCACAAGCTACTCATCCGAGTTTTTCATGTCATTCCGGACCGGAAAAAATCGGACCGCCGGACCTGAAAATTCAGTGTAGTGCACAAGCGCCCTAAGCCTACTAATGACGCCAATCACAAATGACTGGCCTTTAGTATGTTTAAAATCGAATAAGAAGAATACAGATGCAATCGAGATAGTAAATTTTTGGTCACCCATCATTTGACCGGCCTTACGAAACTTGCTTCTTCTTCTTTCAGCGGGCGTCTCCGCAACTCGACGTCAAAGGACATTGCTCAACGTCCATACATTGGTAGCCCCAGAGCCAAAAAAATATAGGAAAATACTTATTTTATTGTGTGTCACTAACTAATTCTCATTATGTATTTATTATACCGTGACC